AATTGTTAGGGTGCATTGAGCCTTGTCAAAAATGAGAATGTTGTGAAATTATGAGCTAAAAAATAAAGCAAAGTGGAATAAATTGGAAAAGATAACTTATTTAAAGCAGGTATTGTCTTTAGTAACACTGTGAACTCTTTAAAACATTCCAAAAATGACTTTGATTTTAAAGGCGGATTTAGGAAAAACGAAGTGCTACTGATTTGACTGATTAAGATTCAATCTTTCCAAGTTNTTTTCACAAAAAAGATAATTTTGAAAACTTCATCAGTAATGCACTGGAAGGAGATATATATATATACATATACATATATATATATATATATGTATATATACATATATATATATATGGATGTTTCCAATTGGTATATTAAAATGCCTGCTTTAATCAGAAAAGTAAAATGGAAAGGCATGAATAAAGTCTACTTAATCTTTTATAGTCATGCTGAACTTTCTTGAGAAATAACATTTATAGTTGCACTATCTTCCCATTTTTCTCTTGATTTTGGAACTGTTGTGCCAACGTAATATTTCTGCAATGATGAAAGATATATTTGTCCATCATATAAATGTTTTAGCATAAGTATCAGTGATATTTATATTACAAATGTTAACTCATAACTTTAAATTACCCAAACGAATATACAATAGAATCTTTACAGTTTGACTAACTATAATATTTCAAATGATTTAAAGAGCCAAGTAAGCTCTTTAAATTTATTTATTTATTTATTTATTAAATCATTTATTCAGATGCTACCTATCCCGTGAATTTAATATTCCTTCCCTTTGTTTAAACCATCAGCAATAGCTTTCTTAAAAATGGTTTATTATTGGCCACAGTAAAAGAGTTAAAATTTCATTAAGCTTAGTTATTTAGGCTTATAATTCATGGCTCTGTCACCTAGAAATTTTAAAAGACTTTGAGCTTTTACCAACCCAACTTCACAGTTCCAAAATCCCAGGATTTACAGGAAAGCCTTCAAAACTAACTGTCAATTCTGATTTGCTAAGCATTTAAGAATACAAATATTAAATCAGGATTCATTTTCATTTAACATTTAACATGGATGTAAAATTCTCATTTTGCCCTAACAACAGAATTAAAAAACTAAGACATCTTTCAATAAGTTCTTAACACTCACTGGACAATTTCTACTGCAAGTCATCTCAACTAATGGGACAAAGAGGATGTGGGGACCTTCCCGTAGTCCAGGCTAGGACCCGCCGGACTCCTTCACCTGGGACAAAATTAAGCAGATCTCTCTTTCCACTGAAGCCCAGCATATAGTGTCCACGGGCTCCAGATCTAGAGCTGCTGACCAGGCACAGTTCTCTGCCACAAATAACACGCACAGAGGCAAATAGGAAATTTCACCCAGAAATTGTGCTCAAACATTACAAAACTGCAACACATGGGAGAGCAGAGAAAGAGCTGCAAAATAAGGGAAGGGTTTTTTATTTTGGTGAAAATTTCACTAGCAAATTATATAATATTCCAGGAAATGCCAAATCAATGATTCCAAAACTCAGTTTGTTCCAGTTGATGGTATTTTATATTTGAGTCTATTTTTTCTTCACAGAGTAACACTTCTTTCTCAATTTGGTAGTTTCTAAGGTTGAAAAAACTATATACAAATGTATCTGTACCAAGACATGTAAGTGGTGACACAGATACACATTTAACACGCTCACAAAAACACTACTCACGCGTATACACATTCACTGAAATAGCTGGTCTTAAACACAGTCAATTAGTACCTTTACTAAGTTAGAAAAAAATGCACTGTAAATTTGTTTGGTAGCAATATTACAATTGGCTCAATAATAGATAAATCTATAGTTACAGCACTGAAGAATTTGTATCTGACAAGCAGGATGTAAACTACAGTATACCACCAACTTACTGGGACTTAAATGTATATCAAGAAGGAATCAAAGCACCTCCTATACAAGATACCTGCATTTGTTAATGGTGCTTAATGCAGAGATTTAGTACCTAGAAGGCATTTTTGAGTAGAATGATTAATTTAAATTCACTGTTTAAATAAAGGCTAGTGAGACTCTTGCGCTCTAATGCATGTTTATAATTTTATATAATTCGCAAAATGGGTATTTCTGCAGCTCTCTCTTTCCCTGGTGTTGCAGGTCGATAACATTAAAAGAAAAATGATCAAGATTCTGAATGGCAACATAAAGAGCAAAAGCTATACTTTCCAAAGAATAATGACTCCTACTAAATTGCTCAATTATGCAAATAATATTATGTATAAACCAATACAGTTTCAATATTTATTAAAAATGGGTGTTCTAGACTCATGATTCATGAACACTAAAATCAAAGTAATGAGCTGAAGCAGTAGCAGCAGAGTAAGAACATTTCTCTTCAATGCTCTACCTATCTTTTTTTTGGCTGCCCAGCATAGGGGATTCAAAAATGCTATGTTTATAGCTCTGGTTATTTTGTAGTTTAATTCTTCCAAAAAGAGGTTACAGGATATGAAGAACATAAAAGTTTCTGATGAGACTCACAATGCCATCAACGTCCCCCACTCTGAATGTCAGAGCAAGTCTTCTCTTTTTGTTCCATTTGTCCCTTTCGGAGCTTTGTTGCTTTCAAAGTTTAAGCAATCTGGAAACACTCTGAAGAGCTTATAGGAAATATAGAATTATAACCTAAGTCTTCTACCATCTAGTTTGCTCTAAGTGGCTGTTTATAAACAACAGAAGACTGGTAGGATACCATTTTAATTTACTGGCTGCTTTTATTAATTGTAAAAGTAGACATTACTGGTATAAACTGAATGCAAAAAATTAAAAGATGGTGATGAAACTGGCTACTGAGAACTAAGGACAGATTTAAAATGCATTAACAAAAAAGGAATAAAAATAGCTGGCAATTTCTTAAGGACAAGGGAATCTTGTTCTTGCCACTTCTTGCTAAGTGGCATTTTGATTTTATTCTTTTCAAACTATCCCCAGCTAAAAGAGTAAATTATTTTATTTTATTCTACTCAAATGATAAGCTTTTATTGTATGTTACAGATCATTCATCCAGGACATGCAGCATCTGTGTTTGGCATTGTCTCATTTTTGAAAGGATGGAGTGCACATAATAGTCTCTTGCCTATGCTGAACTCACACCTGCCTGGCAGAGAAGAGCTCTCACTAAGTGTAACTTGAATGCGAACTTGCTTAGGCAATAGCAGTGCCATTCAAGAGTAAATATTCTAAACGTTAATAATATAACTTGAAATTCTTTATGTAGATGTAAAAGCTTTGGAACTGACGTTGAGAAGAGATAAGAATGTTTTATTTTCACTTAATTTATCTTAAGAAAGCTAATATGATATTGATACAGGAGCTTGAAAGAAATTATTTAGGCAGATAGTGAGGGTAAAGGAGTCCTCAGCAAGGCTTCCCTTTTAACAAAAAGCAGCTCCCAAATCATTTCTTTTCTAACAAAAAGCAGCCTGAAAAATTGAGCTGCAAACATAAGCGAGCTGGAATTTTGCACAGGTGAATGCTGGCAGCTGTGCCAATAGCAAAGGGCTTCCTGGGGCCAGGCATGTTCAATATGCTCCATCTTCCCTTTTCTTCATCACCACATGTACAGTAAAGGAATGGGCAACAAGGCACTGGCCAGGTAGAGAAACATCTGCATAACAAAAGATCAGGGTGGGGGTGGCCAGATTCTTGGGCACTCTGCAAATGACACACCTAGCCCTAACCAGTTTTTCATGTGCTATGCAAATGGTACACCTGCTCAGACCAATCTTTCCTACCCTATGCAAATCAGACACTGCCTTCTCAAGCTCATCTAAAAAGTCTCCTGCACTTCACCGCGGACTAGAAATTTGTTTGGGACCCCTCTTTTTACAGGAAAGAGCTTAAATCTCCGTTCTTAACCTCATTCCTGTGTGTCCGCGTCCTTGATTTCCTTGGAGTGAGACAATGACCCTTGGATATTATGCCAGATGAACAATACTGCTTCAGTATGACTGAGGGGCACCTCTCCCACTTATACCTAAAATCTCACCATTAGTGATTCCCCTCTATGGTTTAACTAAGCCTTTTTCAGGTGTCTGCTAATTAAAATTCAGATCTACCCAGGAGTAACAATTCATTAAAATGCATACATTTTATTAATAATTTGATTAAATCAGCTATATGATAATCAAAGAATAAATTACAGTAACTTCAGTGAGAAAGAGTAGGCAGTGGAGATCTCAGTTCAATTCAAATAATTATTGAGTACCTGCCAGGTTCTATGCAGGGTGCTGCACACTGGAGATTCAAAAATGAATAAGCCTCAGTCCTACACCTCACAGGAAGGGCTCAAGAGGAGGGAAAGAGATTAATACTAAAGGAGAAAAGATGAAAGAAACTGGAGAGGGCGAACTGCACTTACTACAAAATTTTCTTTTACTAGTACTGGCCCTACCTATATTTGTAGGCTGAAAAGAATATTATCCACTCTTACAATACTGATACTGCTTCAGTTCTTGCTAAAAACTAAAGTTTTAAACTTAAATAATAACTTTGAAATATAAAATGACATCTTAAAAAATCCACAAATTGAACAGTTACACAACATATGGCATTCTATTTTTAGTGGCTTTAATATATTTGATAAAATAGGCCCTAAATATCAAAAGGCAAGTTTTGCCATCTTTGAAAGCTTTGGCAACTTATTAAGAATACAATTTTTAAATGTTCTCAAAACGTTAATTTTTTAAAAACACAGACTGATAAGAATATATACAAAATAAGATTTAATAACAATATTATAATAGACTTTTTCTTTGAGTACACACTAAGGGCATCATCCCGTCTTGTTCCATTATACTTTCAAACAAATGACCATTATATAAAAAATAAATTTTAGAATATCTTAAGAATGTTCTGTGATCATTACCTCAAAGTATATGACAGAGGAATTAAATTAAATGATGCATTTTAATTTCTTTATTAAAAATGAATTAATTTTATTAAGAATAAAAAATATGGAACGCCTCATGCATTTGCCTGCCATCCTCGCCCAAGGACCATGCTGATCTCTGTATCATTCCAATTTTAGTGTACGCACTGCTGAAGCAAACATATGAATTGCAGTTTTGTGATTAATTTCTTTACACAACTGTTTGTTTTTATGACAAATATATCTTTAGAAAGTTTCTTTTAAGATAAGCAAGTTAATTAAATTCTTTAAGTTCAAAATTCTGTTGAGTTATACTTTATTCAATAATGAAAGGAGTCCTTTCATATTTTACATCAAGTCAATCACTGATTAGTTTAAACATCTACATTGACTAGATCCTTTTAAAAAAAAAAGGCTGATGGCACCGTGAAGGTCAATGTTGTTGATTGGTGGTCACATGCCTGGGATAAATATGGACATTGTCATCCAAAACCCTTGCCCAGTAAGCTGCAGGTATTTACAGAACAGCTGGGGCACACCACAGGCACTACAGTCAATAAACATTGTGGTGTGAGACAAAGACAGACTCACAGCCAACTTGGTTATTATGAAATAAGAGTATACCAAAATTCAGGAAGTAATAAAAATAAAACCATAAGAAAACATTTTATTTCCTCTTCTCCTTCATGTGTTTTAACCATTTGGAACAAGAGCTAAATCTTATACATAAAGTTTACCTCTTTCAACTTCTGTCTTCTTAAAGGTAAGGGTCCAGTTGAAAGGAAAAAAAAATCCAAAGGAATGAGAGAAAAGAAAATGGGCCTAAATAATCTACAAACTGGAAAACATATCCCTGAACAGAGTGGATTGTAAGAGTGTGATACTAAGGTTCTCAACAGAAGCTCAGGAAAAATCTCAAAATGGTAAATAGAGCCAACCCAGAGTTACCTTCTCCTCTCCCCTTGAGAGGGAAGGGAGAATGCTGGTTTGTCAGGAAAATTCCAGCCCTAACTCTGCACTGACCTTTACCATTCTAATCTTCAGTTCCTTAGCTGTGAAATGCAGAAAATCTCTATCCTTATGTACTCCAACTGAAAACCGTGCAAATAACATTTCTGTGGTGCCTTTTTTTTTTCTTAAGAAAAAGATGAACCAAATACAGATCAAGATTATTGCATGATTCATTTTCAAATCATTTACAAGATTACATGCATACATTCATTTGGCTGGTACAGAAGTTTTCAGGGTGAACTTTAACAGCAAAAAATTAGAGGCTAGCTAACTAGAAAACATTTGCTGTGTTTTCCTGAAATGGTTTTGATAAATTTAGTCAAAACCAGAAACATTTCAAACACTGTCAAAATTTAAGGACATACAGTACACAAAATTTTAAATTCAACTAGCATGCCCTTATGCTGAAAATATCACTAGTTGCCAGAGGAAAGCTGCAAGATTGAGCTTTTTAAGAAGTGATAGAAAAACATCTTCCTTTTAATTATACAAATTAGTTATTGTCTTTTTCTATTTAGGATCTATTTGCAATTTTTTTCTTGTTGGACAATGACTGTCTTAGCTAGATGTAATTACCCTGTAGTGTATTTCAGCATTTGGTCACCAGTTCCATCTAAAAAAAAAACAAAAACAAAAAAACAAAACTCATAGTATGGACATTTTGTCCATAAAATGAGCAACAGATTAAACATTTTTAAAATCTTTTAAAAACTAAAATACAACATCAAAACTATTTTGGGGTTTCTCTTTGTAAAAAATTCTCCAATATATTTCATTTAAAAGTGAGGTATTTACATTAATTTGGATTTAAAACAGCATTTAATGTGATTCTTCATATAATATCATTTCTATATAAATCCTTACAAACAAGTTTACATTAAAATCCCCTCCCACAAAGGACTTAAACTGTTTACTTTTAACTCCTCCCCCACCCCATATACTCCCTAACACCCAAGGAATATGATAGTCTTACATACCATCAGCAGACAGGCGGGCGTGACTTGAAAAGGCTTTATCTATTTCGAGAAAAGCCAAGGTCAACACAGTTTCTAAGTTCTTCTCCTTAGGAAGCAAATCCCTTTGTGGGGAGGGAAAAAAAAGCATCAAACAATCATTTTACAATAGGTTTCTCTCTTCACTGTTAATGCTAGCTAGCAGTCATTCCATACAATGGCCCTCATAATTTTCCTGTTAAATGCTGAAGGTTTACTGGCTAAGAAACACTTATTGAGCATGCAGTAAGTATCAGGCACTGTGATAAGCTTTTAAGGGCACAAAAATCAAAATCCAGATCCTTGTCTTTGAAGAATTAATCCTCACTACCACATCCCTGAGAGGTTAAGAATTCCTTCCTATTATGAGTTCTTTCATGGAATGAGGTATACACAGGAAGTGAAAAAAGGGTCACGTGGGAAGTCAAGAATAGTTACATGGTCATAACTCTATCACATGTTCTCCCTTTTTCAATGTTAGCAGTAATATGACCCTCAAAAATGCACTAATAATAGTTGAAGTAAATAAACTGAAGAGCTCCAGAACATCTGCATTAAATGCATTTTCTCCACACTAATGCCAATCATCCAAAGCTATTTTCAACAAGTCAAGTATTCAAAGCTATTCACACCACTTGAAAGTGTAATTACCATTTATTGAAGCACTTATACTTCCTACACTGATGGGAGTAAATGCTTCTCATAGATGATCTCATGCACATTATGCCACTTCACTTGAAATGATCACAAATTAAGTGCTATAGATTTTGGTTAATGCTTTCCCCAGGGGAGTTGTTAAAACATGCATTTCTGAAATTGTGATATCCACTTAAAACTACTTCTCATTCATTAACTACTTCTCATTCATGAAGCAGCAGCATGCAACCACTTAAGTAACTATGTTCACCCTGGAGGCCTCAGCCAAAGGGTGAAAGTTTAAGTAGGACGCATAGGGGAACTGCAAAGTCAGGAGTGAAAGTCATTGTACATACGTAATACATGTCTCCATGTGGGTATGACAGAAATCAGCTGCTGCAGGTCCACCGTGTCCATCATATACTGCAAAGTACAGGACCTCATCTGTTAGCTGAGCAAAGTCAAACCGATCTTCATTCTCTTTCCGTTTGCCAATCTGTGAGGCACAGCCCACATTTTCCAAACTGATTTTGGGAATCGGCTTGCCATACTTAATGCTGGGTGGCAGCAGAATTGGCTCATCAATGCGGTTATCCCAGATCCCAAAACTGTCCCAGGTAGCTGGACGCCCACTACCATCTGGGTCAAACCGAGAACACCTAGGCTCTGAAGTGGAGCTGTTGCACGTGGGTGTCACCTGCCTGTCGTCCTGCAGCAAGCGGGAGCTTAGCAACACTCTCCTTCTCAACTGGTTCCCACCACTTCTGACCAAAGTAATTAAGGCAGCTGTTGACATAACTCAGCTCCAAAGGACTCAGTGATGAGGGAAAGGTCAATGGAACAATAATAGAATGTCTTCAAGAAAAATTATGCAAGTCGGGCGGGGGAGGGAGAGAGGGAGAGGGAGAGGGGGAGGGGGGGAGGGGGAGAGAGAGAGAGAGAGAGAGAGAGAGAGACCATCAGAAATTTTGAATATAACTAGTATGTTATCAAATATTACCAAAAATGAATGTCATAAAGGATTTGACAGAAAATACATATATTTATGTTATATATTGGGTAGACATCCAATAGCCTACTTCTAAGAACAGTGGATCAAAAATGAATTGATTTTCCTACCTCATTCACAGCATTTAAGTTCTATAAAAATTTGACAGTGTGCACATACACAGAACATGTGTCTCTCAAACTTGAACCTGCAATCATTTGTTAAAATGCAGATTCTGACTTAGTGGCTATGGGGTGGAGCCATTCTGCATTTCTAACCAACACCCTGGTGATACGGAAGCTGCTGGTCTGCAAGTTGCACTTCAAGTAGCAAGAACACAGAATACAGGTATAATTAAATATACTTCCCTTCATTAACTCTATTGCTTTCAAGAAAAGGTAGGGGTAAATATTAATAATATCAAAGTCTCTTGAGGAAAAAATAACAGGCTAATAAGAATACATAAAATAGTTCTGTTTCCAAAGAATGGCCAAGTTTTCGGGCGTGATGGCTCACTCCTGTAATCCCAACACTTTGGGAGGCCAAGACAGGTGTATTGTCTGAGCTCAGGAGTTCACGACCAGCCTGGGCAACATGGTGAAACCCTGTCTCTACTAAAAAAAACAAAACAAAAAATTAGCCAGGCTTGGAGGCATGCGCCTATAATCCTAGCTACTCGGGAGGCTGAGGCAAGAGAATTGCTTGAACCCAGCAGGTACAGGTTGCAGTGAGCCAAGATCACACCACTGTACTCCAGTCTGGGCAACAGTGCAAGACTTCATCTTAAAAAAAAAGAAAAAGAAAAGAAAAAAGAATGGCCAAGTTTTAGCAAACACATAGTCTAGGATTGATCTAAGTTTTTATTTTGAGATTTCTCAACCTACTAAACTTTATATAACATATTATTGTGGTAAATATAAATTGGCATGCAAACACCCCAGAGGCACAAAGAAAAGCCAGTTTTAATGATGCTCCCCTTCCTGGTAGACTATCACTAGGAGAGTGTGTGGGTGTGATCTCAGGAACCCGGCAGCACCGCATTTGTGACAAGCAGCCCTAATTTCTGAACAAGTGATCTATGCATTTACATTTACAACTGCAGCTCTCCGTTCCCAACCCTAGCAATCCACTGACACTTCAGACTACACTTCTTTAAAACTATTACTCTATACCCCACCCCAAAACTCAATCCTCAGTCTTAGCATTACAGGGTGTTACCAGGGGGAATTCCTACCCCACTGTGGGTAGGGCTGTCTCTGGCAATTTTCCATACAAAGAAGAAATTTGTCTCCATAGGATTGTGTTCTATTACTTCATTAATTTAAAATCAACTTGAAAAGATGGCATAATACTAAGGTTTGATAATGTTGGTGGATGGTCTACTGGTATTATATTATTCTCAATTGTATGTTTAAATTATTTCACAATAAAAATGAGCTTGAGAAAATGTATCTTTCCAAAAGGTATAAACATATACCAATGAAATCCAGCTTGAGTGCAGCTATGAGAAAATGCACTACAGGTTTCAAATAATTACTTTCAAGTGAATTTTTG